CCCCTCCTTTTTTTTAATATCTAACATTTTTACATGCTGCTAGTGAGAGAACCTGTTGTTAAAATATTTGAATCCCACCACTGGTCACTTAGCATTATTTCTAGCTTATACAGACAGTCAGTTTGACAGTCCTAAGTATTCTAGTTCTAAACTAAGTTAATTAGAGAATAGGTAGAATCACTGTAGTATTTAAGGGTTCATTATAAAAAAAATTGTAGGTGACACTTCTTCGGAAGCTGTTCTTAGTTGTTGTTTTTCTTTAGGTAAAGAAATGCCTTATCAGTTGTTACACTCTAAAACAGTTACCATTATTATAGTTGTATCATACCTGTAATTGGAGACCTTGGAGGTGGAGGAAAGGAATCCTCTGTACTAACACTGCAGCAAGAGTTTCTGTCTGCTGTAGATGTACTTCCATAACCACTGGAGAAGCTACAACCTGAATGTCGGTTGTTAAGGTCTGGTACCACAGGAGGTGCTACCTTTTTAATGGTGCTGGGTTTCAGGGTTCCAGTACGCTGCATTCCTCCAACTATAAGAAATCAAGAAAAAGAAAAAAAACCTACATGAGGATAACTGAATCTCTCTTTCACACCCTACCACCCACACCCACCACCCCCAAAAAAGAAAAATAGGACTGAAGTGAATAAACATTATGAATCAATAGTTATGTTCCTTTAAAAGCCAAATCAACATCCCAAGTAATATTATTTTATTAAACATTCATAGCATGAATAAATACATGTTCCAGACTTAATATTTCATTTTGAATGACTCCCACACACTCCATAAATACCAGCATGATCAAGCACATCAATTTTTACTTTAAATGTAGTCTCATATTCAAACACGTTGTAATTTTCTACCTTGTACTTACTTCCTCAAAGGATATTGATGATTGTGAAGTGTACAAGATTGTTGTTGTAATAAGAACATAATTTATCGAAAATTGAAAAAAAGTTTTAAGCACTGTATGAATATAACTGACAAACAGATATATCAACTGAAGTAGAATTTCCATTGCAGCAAGTGATCATATGGTAAAAGTTCATTTGTCCCTGTACTAATCAAACACAGACAGGCAGCGTGTGTGTGTATTTATATACTAATCAAACACAGACAGACAGGCAGCGTGTGTGTGTATTTATATACTAATCAAACGCAGACAGGCAGCGTGTGTGTGTATTTATATACTAATCCAACACAGACAGGCAGCGTGTGTGTGTGTGTATTTATATACTAATCAAACACAGACAGGCA